TTTTTTGGCAAAGTTCAAATTGCATTTGGGCAAAAACGTAAAAGCAAAAAAATAACACAGCAATGTAAAGGAAAATGAAAAAAAACCCATTGACAGACAGGCACAGTTGCCGAGGAGAAAGCGCTCAGGAGAGCAGGGAGGGGTCAAAGCAAACAACAAGCACAAACAGAAGCTCGCATGTGTGCGCTCTCCCTCTCTCTTGCTCCCTCTATGTCTCTCTCTCTCTCTCGCTCTCATACTCTGCGTGTTTCTTTCTGTGCATATGCATTTGTATACGTATATGTGGCTCTGTGTGTGTGTTCGAGCAACATTTTCTTATCTAAACAATATTTGGCGGGCCAACGACAACAACGTTTTTCTCTAGCTGATTGAACAAAGTTTGTTGCCACTCATTGTCGTTGTAGTTTTCGATGTTGTTGTTGGTGCAGTTGTTATTGTTTGCCTTTCGACTAGCGCAAAAATTGTTTCTGATAAAGCTCAGCGGCCAGCAGGAAGGATGCCAGCCTGCTTCTTTTTTATTATTACATTTGTGTACATGTGTGTGTGTGCTTGTGCACTGTCTGTTGCCGTCCAATGCTGTAAGCGACATCTGCCGGCATAAATAAGCACTAAAATGTTTATAATGCTGTCTAAAAACGATTTTGCACATGTGACATGAACACACACACACATACGCACACACACAGGCACATGCATTTACACATCGAATGTCTTGCAAACGCAAACGGCTTACACTTTGAGCAGCACTGCAGTTGACAGTTATATGCAGACAGCGCAGCGAAATGATCAAATTTCTTCATATTTCCATTTAATCTAAGCAAGAGAAAAGCCAAATTTGATTTTTGTCAACAAAACTTTAATATTTACTTATTTTGTACCTTTTAATGTCTAACCCACAGTTTTAAAGCTAAACTCCGTTTTGTTACAGTTTTAGTAGCACTGCAATTTGCGGCAACGAACGCATTAGTCAAGACAGCTGCGCCAACATGCACGCGAGCGACAGAGATAGCAACAACAAAAAACACACAAAACTCATTTGCTGGCAGCGGCGTACTTGGTGTGAAAGAGAGGGGGAGAGAGAGTAGTAAAAATGCCTGCACTCAATTTAATTTAATTATATATTTACTAATAACTATTTGTTTATAGGTTTTGTTTCTTTGTTTGTTTGCTTTAAAATAATTTTCATTTTTAAAATTGTTTTTGCGGATGTTTTTGTTTTGTTTTGTTTGGTTTATTTCCCACAGCATTTGAAAATATTTAATTAAAATATAAAATATATATATTGTTTTTTATTTTTAACGCAAAATGTTGGCTGTTAAACCGCACTAGAAATTTATAAGTTATGAATTATAAACTTAAAGCTGTTTTTTTTTTTATAAAAATTAAATATTTTTACTTTTTTTTTCAAAATATTTTGACTTTTTTAAACAAAAAACATTTTTGTTTTCATATATTTTTGTTCAACTGGGAAAAATTGCTTCTTCTTCTTCTGCTTTGCTTTTGTTAAATGCAGCTTTGAGCTAAAAATTATAATTGGCATTGGAATTCTACGTATGTGTGTGCTTGTGCAAATGGGGGCGTGGCAGCTCAGAGAATAGCATTTATACATAATGTATCTTACAACAAAAAGCATTGCTTGTTTACCGTTTTGTTTTTGATTTTTTTTCTCTTGTTTTATTATAATTAATATATATATATATACGTTATTATTATCGTGTAGAGACTAATACCAAATACAGCTGATTGTGTGTATTTTACATTTTACATTTAACAACGCCTGCGCCCCTAGCATTTTCTTTTGCTTTTGTTTTTGCTATTGCTTTTGCTTTTGCTAACTTCATTCATTTGAATTTACTTGCTGATTTGCTTGCGCTTATTGCCTTGCCGGCTTGTTGTAGTTGTTGTTGTTCTTGCATGTTGCATGTTGGTTGTTGTGGCGTTTCTTTGCTTTGGAATTTTGTTACGTTTGCAATTTCATTTGAATGTCAAATTATCAAAACTCATTACAGGAATTAAAACAAATTGAACAAATCGATATATATACATATATATATATATCCGGACAATTATACATATACATATATATATATATATAAGCAAATATACAAATATATATATAAATATATATATGTGTACTTATATATATATATATGTACATGTATTTGCTATGCTTGCTGCAGTTGTATGTGTGTGTGGGTGCGTGTAGGTGTGTGTGGGTGTGTGTGTGTAATGAACGACTAAAATTACGATTTTGTTTAGATTTCCATATCCGCCTTTTATGTTGTCTCAGTTGTCTGTTGCTCAATTTCTGTTCTCTAATATGTTGCTGATGCTATTGCTGTTCTAGATGTGTATGTGTATGTGTATGTGTGTGTTTTTCTGTTTTCTTCTGTTTCATTGTTGCTTAACCAATCATCAGTCCACAGCCGAGCTTAAAGTTATTCTTCACATGATTCATACGTCCACTGAGCGCAAACGAAAATGGCAAAGGCTGCAGACGTTTCTCTAGAACGCCCGAAATGTGCCAATTTGAATCAATTGAGCCTGCAAACATAAGAGAATATATATGTATTATATATGCATTATAGAATTAGATACTGTCTCTCATCTCATCCCTACAAAGTCAGTTTATCAGTATTCATCATTCTGCCTTATCTATATAAGTAGCAGCATCCATTAGCTTATCGTACTACTTACATGGTATTTAGATCTATCTAATAGTCAGTTCATTAATTGCTATCTACATTACATTAGCCCATAAAGTTCATAAAGTAGGAGGTTAATAGATGTTACAGCTTCTACCCTAAGTCACTTAAATAAAGCTCTCAATCTATAGACCTATCTGTCTCTAAATAGTGTCCAGAAAGCGTAATCATCAAAAGGTCAGTCATTTAATCGATCAGTGAAACTGCGAACGTTCAGTCAATCAGCTGATCAGTTACGTTAGTAAATCAGGTTATCAGTTAGCCAGCAATACATCAGCAAAGACTATAATAAATCACTCAGTCAATCAGTCAATCAAATGTATCTCAACAATTTGACCAACAGTCAATCACTTATTATTCAGTCAGTCTCTCAATCAGTCTAAACGTATTAGCCAAGCAACTAATTAACTCATCACTTGATCGTTAAATACTAAAACTAGTCATTCAATCGGTCAATCAATGTCTTATAACGATATAGTCTTCCATAGTTAGGCAATTGGACAAACCTCTGAACACCAAGTCTGCCTTGGGCAGATCAATTTGATAGGCTATGGTCGCAACAGACTCCTGCATGCGGAGACTTGTTTCCACCTCGACGCCAATCTGCAGCTGCTCGCTGGCTTTCTGATAGTAGCACAAGTGAAGGCCACTGGGGCCCAGGGTGCCAGACCAAATCGAATCTCCATTGGAGTAGCGGCCCAATGCCGAAACAATCGCTATCTGACGGCCAGGTACATTGGGTCCATATTGATAGGCCACCTCGGCGCCAAGGGCCATGCGCTGGGTGACCGATTGTAGATATTGGCCAACAACGACACCAGAATTGGTGAATATGCTAGGATTGCCGAGTGTTATGGAGGCGGTGAAGTCATTGCCCCTATAATCTGTGCTCAGCTGTGTGGCCATCATCTTCGACTCTTGGATCTGTAAGCAGAAAATGTCTGAGACATGAAATTGGTATGTTTAGGACATTTCACTTACCTGCGAGGCGAACTTGCAGCGCAAACGCGATGAGAACTGATGTATGACATTTGCGTTCAGATTGCCGGACGGATCGATGTCGCCGAGCAGCACGGGGAATGCCTCGGTGGGGCTGTATTGCTTGGTGCCCACATAGGTGGCCCCAAAGCGATAGCCACTCGGAACTGTGGTGCTCATGTTGATCGTGTGCGATACCTGAAAGTGATTGCTCAGACCCTTGTTCAGCATGATCTTGGCGCCCTCGAAGGTGATGGCCTGGACATCTGCAATGCAAGTGGGGATAAGGAAAGGTTACAGCCAAAACTTGCTTTAAATGCAATTCCCTCAGCCATATTGCTCGGCACACACATGTACATATATACTTAAATATTTATATATGTGTGTATATGCACATATGTACTTGCACTGATAATACATAATCAGCAGGCATACGCACACAAACGCATGCACGCACACGCACACATACACACACACACATGGACGTTCGACCGACCCCCCCTTTCACATGCTTGTAGGTTATGTCATCAGTGAAACAAAATTCTGTTCGATTTTTTGCACCAATTGTTGAATGACATTTGCCTACCTTTGCATTTTTTATGCAACTCCTCCACGGTGCCGGGATTCTCCAGCTGATTGTCCTTGCCAAACGCATCGCTCACTTCGCTGGCAACCGATGGCGCTGATTGCTCTGTGGATGAAATAGCCGCTGGTTCCGGCAAACCCAAACTGGCTGCCACACTGTTGCTGCGCGCCGTTGCTGCATCGACGCCGGATGAGGCCGCAAGCACGTTACCCATTTTGTATGTTGTCAGTTAAGCTGTTTTTCTGTGTGTGTGTATTATTTTTATATTTTTTTTTTTGTGTGTGGCCGTCGAAATTAAAAGTGGCACGCGCTAATCTGGAGTATCTGTGTGTTAGACACACTACAAAAAAAAAGACTGTTTTTTTGACAGCAATTTCGATAGTCATGTGTGTATCGATATATAAACTGGCATCGATTCGAGTCCTAAGCAAGCACACGACACTCACAGGCATCGTTGTTTAGCTTAAAACTATAAATTGATTAAAAGCAGCATATCTAAAGGTGCATATGAAATAAGTCCAATTTTTATTTATCAAATATTGATTAATATGTCAAAATCAGTACATAAATATCGTTGGAGCTGTGGCCATGCAGAAAGTACTCGATGTTCTCATTTTAACAGCTGAGCTGCCACTCGCTGCAGCTGGACAGTTCTAAAGTGCTGCCAGATCGCGCACATATGGGCGGTATTTTTTTGAATTCTTGTTGGATAAAGGAATAAAATTGCAAAATTCACTTTTAATCAATAAAAACGTTTATATTTTCAATTTCAATTTGTATAAGTTAATTAGTAGAGCACAAAACTCTGCTACGTATAAAGCTGAAAAAGTTCTTAGTTTCGTTATTAATCAGAGAGGAGTTTTGTGGGCGACAATTGGCTTATTTTTCTCATTCTTGTTTAGTTTTGGTTTTGAGGATGAAAGACAATAAACATAATTTTCCTTAAACCATGATTTATCTAATTGGCCAAATTGGCAATATAAAATTATACGAATTAACTTAAAAACATAACTAAAAAGTAGCTGCAATGCATATATAGTGTATACATACATACATACATATATATTCATACATATCATATATATTCGTGTACAATAGTGTACAATGTTTGCAATCTCTTATTTCGACTACTCTTTAATTTTTTTTCTTTTCATTTTTGGTGCGCTATTAAAAACGAGTTAACAAAAATGTTATAGACCGCCATATGTGAACAAAGATCAGCATAATGCGCGTTCCATTCAAAAATCAAATTTAAATTTAAATATTTAAAAAAAATGGTATATATAGTCTATATATATTAATATAAATATATACGTATATGAGTAGAAACTCTAAACAAAAACAAAACAAATGAAGAGTTTTAGTTGAATCAACAGCAAGAAGATTTCTCTGGCTCGGCCACAACCAGATTGAAATCCAAACTGTTTGGCCGCGCAAAGCCGGATTTGATGCCATCCCAGCCATCTTCGGCCTTGTATTCGCCGGATCGTATGCGGGCATAGACCTCCTGTGTGACCATGCGAAATGCCTCCTCGACATTGGCGCCGGTGCGCGCCGAAGTCTCTACAAAATGCAATCCGTGCTGTTTGGCAAACGTTTGCGCCTCCTCGGTGGTAACCTCACGGTGTCCTCCCGCATTCACCAGATCCAGCTTGCAGCCTACGAGCGCAAAGACGGGACGATGCGGTTCGATGTGGCGCTGCGCCTCCATCATCCAGAGCGGTATGTGCTCGAAGCTGGCGTGATTCGATATATCGTACACGAGTAGCACACCAACTGAGTTGCGGTAATAGGATTTGGTTATGGAACGGAAGCGCTCCTGCCCAGCCGTGTCCCACAGCTGCAGTTTGATCTGTGTGCCGTCCTTCATCTCGATGAGGCGTGCAAAGAAGTCAACGCCCACTGTGGGATCCGAAAGCTGCGTAAAAGAAATATAAAACAAAAGATTAACTCGGGCTTCAAATACGAATAAAATAAGACAAAAATAATGCGCACAGTCCAAGGTTGCCACACTTTTGTGCTTTTTTCCTTTTTTTGCATGCATTATCAGTTACTCACACTCACACACAGACACACCACAAAGACAGCGGCTGCGACAAAGCATCTTAGCCTGTGTCTTTATTACATATATACATACATATACATATGTATATAAATATATTACTAAATGAGCCATATAATTATGTAATTATCATTGCTGCACACTCACTTGACACACATATTAAGAGTACAATCAAGTCATTTACCTCGGCGAATTTTCCATCTGTAAAGAATTTTAGAAGTGAACTTTTGCCCACTGTGCTGTCGCCGATGAGAATTAAACGGAATTGATAATCAAAGATTGGTTCCACCATTGTGTTGCTCCACACCCCACTCCGCTACAGTAGTTTTGGGTGTTACAGTTATTTGTTGCTGTTGTTGTACGCGTTTGCCCCTCTCGTTTGTTGATATTTTGCGTATTAAACTCAAATTCACTTCACGTCCTTTTTTAGCTAGAGACGCTGTTTCCAAACACACCCACAATAGCAGCCGAAAATTTACTGATATTTTCTTCGCAATTTGAACGAACAATATTCTTTAAATAAACAACAATTATTGTTTATTGAATTTAAGTAACTCAGCTGCTGAGTTTTGTTTGTTTTTTTTTTTTCTAACGCACATTAATCGTATGTGTATGTGTGTGCGTGGGCTGGTTTCAGGGCTGGCAAAGGAGTACAATGCGCCCGCAAGTACTCATAAGCAAAGTGGCAGCGCTAAAGAAAATTCAAATCTAGCATCGATTTAAGCTGAGCCTTCAGGTATTCAAGATCTTGCTATATGAAGATATATAAAATCTAGAATGTAAACGCAAATATTTAAACCTATAACAGCTGCTTTTGAAAAGTTCAAATCAAATATTAACGAAATTACAATTTATCGATATACAATGTTGTTTCAGCTACCATCACTAGCTGTCACATTTGACAATAGTCCGTTTTATTTCGGCTTTATTTTTATATTGTTTTTACTTTGGCATTACACAAATGTACAATAACAGACGGGTACCAATATCAAGCAATATTTGCGCCAATACAATTAACACAGAACGCGAAACGGCGCCCGAAAACTAGGAGCAGCTGTTAGCTGTCAACTGTTCCATACGCTCGATCAACGTGTGCGCCTAAGGTTATCGAACAAACCAAAATATATATATATAAACATATATATATATATATACATATAGATGTTAAAATTTGTGCTGCACGACGCCGTTGGCTATGTGCGCAGTAATGTGCGTGAATTCAGTCTCAACGCGCTGCGGCTGCTTCCCCAATTGCCACAGTTAAGCCCCTACGATGTAAGTATCGATCTGCGGAGCTATCGATCAATCAATCAATCAATTCTAACTGTTGTTGCCGTTGCGCCCCCAGGTAAACATTACCCTGAAAGAGAACGAGTTTGTGTACAACTTCCCGGTGGAGGGCATCATACGCAGCTATGAAACAAATCAGCTCGGCTCCAATTCCCCCTGCGAGGATTCGCGCACCGAGGCCAGTCTCTTGCATCGGAACGGCTTCATCTGCGGCATCTTCGATGGGCATGCGGGCGCCGCCTGCGGCCAGGTTGTGTCGAAGCGGCTCTTGCGCTACATTTCGGCTGCGACGCTGCCGCGCCAAGTGCTGCGCGAGCAGATGAAGCAGGAATGCACCAGTCAATCCTTTCTCAAGTGTCACAACGACAAAGTGGACTTTGTGAGTGAGATTCGGCCCCTGTATGAGCAGAGCTTTCAGCGCTATATTAAGCGGCTAAGTGGGGAGCCGTCGCGGGATGTGGCCAGCGAGCTGGAGCAGGCTTTTATCCAGCTGGACTCCGATTTGTCCGAGGAGGCGCTAGGCAGCAACGATGCACGCATAATGGGCGTGGCACTGTCGGGTGAGTTTCAGACAGACATGAGAAGAAATGCGAGGAGCAGCTGACATTTTCTCTGGTTTACGTTGCAGGTGCCGTTGCCTGCCTGGTGCACCTGGAAGGGTTGCAGCTGCACGTGGCCAGCACTGGGGACTGCGGCGCTGTGCTGGGCGTGCTCGACCCAGAGACGAATCAATGGCACCCCAAGAAGCTCAACATCGAGCACAACGTGGAGAACATGACGGAGGTGAGCCGCATTCTCGGCGAGCATCCGCAGGAGGAGCGCGAAACGGTGATACGCAATGGACGGCTGCTCAGCCAGCTGGCGCCGTTGCGCGCCTTTGGCGACTTCCGCTACAAATGGCCATTGGAGACGCTACACCAGAAGGTGGTGCCCATGTTCGGCGAACAGGTGCTGCCGCCCAACTACTATACGCCACCGTACCTGACCGCCCGGCCCGATGTGCAACAGCACGAGCTGTGCTCGAACGACAAGTTTCTAGTCATTGCCAGCGATGGCCTCTGGGACTTCTTGACGCCCAGCGAAGTAGTCAGCCTTGTGGGCGAGCACATCAACTCGAAGAAGATACTGGAGCCGATGCGACTGCCGCCGGGCGATGTCAAGCTGCAGCAGATCTCCGAGCAATTGGCGGAGCGCAAGTAAGAAAATTATATATGCATTTCATTAATATGAACTTCTCTAATTTGAGCATCTCTTTCTGCACTCCAGAGCGGGTCTAACACGCAAACCCATTGATCAGAATGCTGCGACACACTTGATACGCCATGCGCTGGGCGCCACAGATTATGGTATTGAGCACTCGAAGATCTCGTATTATCTGTCGTTGCCACAGGATGTGGTGCGTCTGTATCGGGACGACATAACCATCACCGTCATCTTCTTCAACTCGGAGCACATTGCCAGGCTGAAGGGCGAGTCGCTACCAACGCCATCTCCACCGACCACCACCACGCAGGCGCCTGCGGCGTGAGCGAATTAGCCAGTTGAAAGCTAAAGAGCTCCATCTACAACTAGTTGCAATCCCATCCTAATGAGCCTATGGCCCCTGCGAATATTGTTCTCGTCTATATATTTCGATGGCCAGCAGTCATTGTTCTTGTAGCCCCCTAAAATTTGTTTCTCGTTTAAGATTCGTTTATTTCGCCAACATATATTTTTCGATTCTCTCGCCCAAATCTAAATAAATTGTTGTTGTTGTCGTTAATCGCGCCAATGTGCCAGGACCTTGGCCAAATGCCAATAAAATTTGCAAAGCTAATAACCCTTAAGTTTGCTATGAAAACTGTTTTCTAGTTAGTTCAAATATATTATTTAAATAAATTGTACGGCATAAGTGAAATATTTTCAACTGTTATTATGTTGTGAGAGTTGAAAGTAGGAATAGATGATGGGGGACCGAAAGGCTATTAACTGGTCAAAGCTAGCTGAGAGCCTTAGCAATACTATATACCCTATTCATGTAGATCGTGAATATATATCTTTTATGACCATAAAAACGTCTCCAAATGGCAGTAAACTGAGATTTTATGAAATTTTATAGCAGCGAGCTGCGCTCGCATATTCAGCTTACTGTTAATATTAACAGTGGCGCGCGTGTTATTAACAGTGCTGTTAAAAAGTGCACGGGAAGTGGAAGAGCTTTGAGTGTGAGAGCGACAGAGAGAGAGAGAGAGAGAGACAGCGATAGAGAGCTGGGACTGCAACTGAATTGAAAAGGTAAGAATTTAAATGAATTTCGCCTTGTTTGTTTATATATTTATAATTTGAACTGTTTTTCCTTTTCTATTTTTTCTTTTTTTGCTTTTTTCGGGAATCGATTAGTTTATTTTACAATTATATTCATTACACTTGAAGTTCGTACAGACTAAGTTCTTTATACTTAGAACCTATTTCTTTTTTCTTTTTTTTTTTTGGGAAAATTTACGTTAAAACATACGATTATACAGATAGACATATATATGCAAATAATCTGCACATATATATGGTATATGGAAGTTAAAGCGAGGCTAAAGCTACAGACAAACACTTACAAAAGAGAAAAATAGAATTTCAACTGGGCTGGGGGCAGGCGTTAATAATTTGTAGTTTTTGTTTTTGTTTTTGTTTTTTGTTTGGCTAGGGAAACTACTAAAAAAAAAGTCTAAATAATCAAGCATATATATGTATATGTATATAGCTCTGCACATATGGGCTGTCTATATCTATGAATGCATATGTAACTAGTCCTTGGCATCCTGCTCGGCCGCCTCCTGCCTGCTGACACAGTTGAGGAATTCCATTTGAATGTGTGTGATCTGCGTCTTGCTAAAATATTGCATTTTTTTCTTGAGAAAATCGAAGAACAAATCGAGCTCGTCGCGCTTAATCAGCGCCTGCGCGAACTGCTGCTGCTCCTCGTCCTTGATCAGTGTGCTGCTCGAGGCGGCCACGCTGATAGAGGCGGAGGAGGAGCCGCCGACGACGTTATTTTGATTGCCCGGACAGCTCAGCGGTGGCAGCTGCAGTATGGTCGTCGCCCCATTATATGGCGTATTTGTTGATGTATTGCACAGTGTGGCAGCTGCTGCTGCCGCTGCGGCCGCTGCCGCAGCTGAAGCTGTTCCTGGTTGTGGCTGCACCCCCGCTGCCGCCGTCGCTCCCGCCGGCAGTGTGGTGCTCACCGTGGCCGCATTCAACGCCACGGCTGGCGTGCTGGATATGGTGACACTGGTGCTCGTCGCCTCGGTGACGTCGACGAGCGCTATTTGCTGGGTGCTGGCTGCTTCGTGGCAGCGCTGGCTGCTCGAGGCAGAGCCCGATGTGGATGCCGCCGCCGCAGCTGCTGTGGTCGTCACGAGTGTGAGATTCTTGAGCTTGGTGTCGGCCGTGATGACGCTGCCGCCGCCAGCCAAAACGCTGTTCGTGGCCGTGGCGCTGCTCACCAAGTGGTGAGAATGTTGCTGATGCTGTGTATGTGTGTGTGTGTGGGTGTGTGCGTGCGCATGATGCGCTGTTGCACGCAGCGGCACACTCACCGTGGTGCGTGTCTCTGGCTCCGGTTCGATGTCCTCTATGCAGAACTCGTCAGCATCAATGTAATGGAAGCCTTTGCTGTCGACCACATCGCTGCTGCCGTCGACGCCCAGCTCGCAGTGCGTGCCACTCGCCTCCTCGTACAGACAGACCTCCTCGTAATCGACCTCAGCTGCTGTGGCGCCATCCTCGTCCAGCTCATGCTTGACAATGTCGACCACCTGTCCATCATGGTCCACCACATCATCGTCGTCCAACTCATCGTCGACCACGTCATCGTCATCGTGAGTGATTTGTGACAACTCAATGCTGGAAATGCTGCCGTTGTGCTGCTGCTGATGATGATGGTGATGCTGTTGCTGTTGCTGATGCTGATGCTGATGCTGCTGCTGCTGTTGTTGGTGATGATTGTGCTGATGATGCTGCTGTTGTTGCTGATGATGGTGCTGCTGCGGCATGGCCATTCTGTGCGCATTATGATGGTGATGCACCGTATCATCAGCCACGCTCTCCTCATAGGCGGTCATTATGAACGCCTCGGTCTCATCGCTGACGAGCGTTATCTGTGAGGAGGACAGGGCCGTTGTATCCGAATGCTCATCTTCATCGATAATGTCATGCTCCACATCGTGGTCATGCTCGACGCCACCAACACCACCATCAACAATATTATCCTCATCCTCGTCGTCATCCTCATCATCCGGCTGTTTCTTGATCTGCACCATGGCGGCCAGCGCATTGCGATGCGC